TCATCCAATCAAAACGCTCGGTCCGAGCGATTTAATATGCTTTCCTACCTGCTTGTCAACGTATGTATTAGCATACCTCTGCGCACCCAGTTCGCGCAGACAGGATACGTCATCAGCGCGTTCACGCACGCTGTGCAGACAGAGCGAGGATGGCAGGCAAACATCAACAAGCCGATCTTCCTTCCTGGTATTGTAGTACTTTTAAAGATTTCTCACCGGTGAATGACACATGATGTAGCCCAGCGGTTAATCCAGTCCTTGCGCCAGCTCGTTAGAAGTGAGCTACGTGCATGAACTGTGTTCCGATCGATATGATCCCTACACAGAGTTCATTGCTCCCTACTCCCTGAGCAGGGGAAATCCGTTGAAGTTTACTTCACTTCGGAACATGGGCTGGAATTGGGAACCTGATGTAGCCTATTGTAGTAATGTTGTCTCTGGTCTGTGAGCATAAATGCATTCAGGGGGCGTGGCTTTGGGCGGCGATTGCAGGGAGGGTAGGACGTTCGCTTTCAGTGCTATCAGGCTAAAGTTAGCATTTTCCGAGATCTCCTATTGCACCTTTAACTGCGCATTTAAACATACTGATTGTCTTTAAAACATCACATTAAAAATGATCTGACGATCACAAATAAAGAGTACAATTCATAGTAATCAATTCAAACAGATAATTTTATTTCAGACGAACAGGAAAAATAATGTGACTAACTGACCACCATTAATTCAGTGGAAATGTGCGGTTCTGGACTGGACAAAGGCGAAACTCACATCAATCTTCCGTACCTAAATAAATAAAAGTCAGAGCAGAGCCTGATAAGCTGTTCCATGAAAAGCAGCTTCTTAGCACAGCTTCGCAAGGTGATATCTACAGCATCCAGACTTGTTATTACACACTGATCAGAGCATGTAAAGTCCTGGCATTGTCTCAGCGGGAGGGAAACGCACTCGGCTGTTGACGTGTGAAGAGGCTGTTTAACAGTGAAGCATAGCCGTTTGGTTCTTGGAAATGTTGAACTAGTGCAGAATTAACGGTGTTGTGTTTGCTCCAAGGTCGCACGTCCATATCCAGTCCTCCCATGGACAGACGTGTCATTAAGGGGACCACGGCCATTTTGGAGTGTGGTGCCACCCACGACCCGCGTGTGGCAGTGAGGTGGGTGATGACAAACTGCTTCCTTCTCTCTTCTCAACATCAGAGCCCAGGGCTCCACACTCGGTTTGATTGTAATGTTAATTCAGAGTGTCAGCCCACAGGCCTTGAAGTTGATTCAAAGCGCGATCCGTAATGCTGTACAGTTAATTCGGCGCTAATATGCTGGATATCAGCGTAATGAGCCAGCGCTGTTTCCTGCGCTCCCCCTGTGTCAGCTTGACTGTGATAGAGTTCTCTTCCGCTCCTCGTCTCCTTCACTTGGCAGGTACGTGTGGAAAAAGGATGAGGAGTTAGTGAGCCAGACCAGAGGGGGGCGTATCAGCCTGCAGGAGGGCTCCTTGCACATCAGTCAAACCTGGTCCGGGGACATCGGGGACTATACCTGTGACGTCATCTCTCAGGCTGGCAACGACTCCAAGGCGGCCCGTCTGGAGGTCATGTGAGTGACTTAGCTTCCCTTCATCTCCGAGCATTAGGCTGACTAATGCGCTGTGCTGATGGATGTGTGTCACCTTCCAGATGCGTATTTCTAGATGCATTTTTCACAAGCCGGCTTTGAAGTGTGAGGACGGAACTGAAGAACGAAAAATATGCTGGCTCTCAAAAACCTCTAACCCTAAGTATTCAACTTTGTCATGTAGCTCATCCCACACCGTTTCTGCTATAGACATGAATGATACCTCAAATCGTGAGGCTTTTTGAGGAGAGGTGTAATATGATTTCCACCTGGTGGACAATAGAACAGATAAAAAAAACTATATACTTGGGTGGATAATCCACCCAAAAATGAAAATTCTCAATCTTTTCCAAGGATTTTTTCAGATTGCTCAATTTTTTACTTGCCCTGCCAACGTTTTCCCTGGCCCTGCCACAAAAAAATAAATAAGCTTTTATGACACCAACATTTAAGATACCAGTTAATTTTTTACAATTCATCATGATTCCTATTTTGATACCACAGCAAAAACTACTAACAAATATAAAGCTCAAACCGTATTAAAGACAAGTGAAAAGTCAGTAAATAAGAACAAATGAACAAAGATACAAATTAAACAATGCTTTAGGTTTGTAGGTGTTCAAGTACAGAAATTAAATAATCAAATGTAAAATAGCATTGCATTTTCTTCACTGTATAAATTAAATATAATCATCGTTAAAGTTACAAAAGTTGTTTGTTCAGTCAAGAGCAGTGAGTGATTTTCTTTTTCTTTTCTTTTTTTTTGAATTAACATTAAGACAACAGTTGGTATATTAGGTGCAGTCACTTTAAGACACCATGCACGGATCCAATATACTGATGCACATTAGGGGTGGGAATCGCAGGGTACCTCACGATACGATACGAATCACAATACGATAATATCACGAATACAGCGATTCTGCGATAATCGATATATTGCTAGACAATCCTATAACGATACATCAGGATATCTGTCTAACTATGAAAACAAAATGCCTGTGAAAAGGTTAAGTGCCAGTTTTCTCTCTTTATTCAAGTCCAAGCTGATAGAAAACAGCACAAAAAGTTCTGTAAATCAAATTTAACATGTTAAGTAAATTAATCATTTTATTCTTGGACTTTAAAAGCTTACACATTTCTTTGTGTGTAAACCAACACATTTAACTGCTTATCAACTTGATATAGGCTATATATATATATATATATATATATATCACATATAAATACTAAGTAATTATAAAAATAATAATAAAAAGTAATATAATCATTTGGAATTAATTAAATGGTGTGATATACTCTAATATATACATATAAAAAGAAATTTGTTAATTTTTCAACTCAACTTTTCACACATTGTTATAATATATAATATAATCATTTATAATGAAAAAAGGTATTATATACGCAAAAAGTGGAATATGGGTAAAGCTCATTATGTGAAATGAGGGTGTGAATGAACATTGCGTACACATGTAATTTCAGGTACTTTGCTCATATTGATCATGCCACATGTCTCTCTGTACCTGCAGGTATCCGTTCCTGGGACATCAATGTGTCAGAATGTGACCTGGACCACCAACTACAGCTTTTCATAACCAGACATTCCGCCCAGTTCTCAGCCGAGGTCAGAGGTCAGTCCGATTGAAAGGATGACATCTAGATCCTGCAGTAGAATTGAATGCAAATGAAGTCAGAAGTTTATATGAAAATCTACTGTATAAAAAATGATATGCTCAAGCTAAATGAACAATTGCAAGGATAAGACATACATTTCCATTTATTTCCCAATATGCCACACAGAAATAAATATTTTCAATTGGTGTCAAAGCTGTTCATATGGCCAGCCCAAGGTCTCACTGTGGTGATCTTGCTTACAGAGAGCTCACTCATAACACACACGATATGCAGCTAATGCAGCACTGAGAATCTCTCCACGTGGAGTCCAGCATGTGTGTTTGCACGGGTCCTGCTTCCACTGTACTGCCTGGCACAGTAGTAATCAAAGAGCTGTGTCAGGAGTAAGTAAATTAATCATTTTATTCTTGGACTTTAAAAGCTTACACATTTCTTTGTGTGTAAACCAACACATTTAACTGCTTATCAACTTTATATAGGCTATATATATATATATATTTATATATATATAAATCTGGTACATTTCAAAATTTAGCTGGAGTGTTTTCTCAACCTTTTCTCTCCTCTCATCATAAAAACGGAGCCCCGCACACATGACATGCAGGGAAAAAATAGCCGTTCACATGGCGCCTTTTGCACGCTCAAGTTCGTTATTTCAAATGTAGACGCGCGGCAAGCACACACACTGCACACTTCTGCGCCGCATTACGGCTCTGACAAGGTTTTGTTTCGTCGTCCATGCCATAGGTGCAGATTTATGTTTCTGCCGGTCGGTGCACACTGTCCACACTGTATAATGCGCACTTGTAATATCTGAGAGAGAGAGAGAGAGAGCATCCAGTTCTGTTGACAAAAAAAATGTCCGCCTGCGATCCGAGCGGAGAGGTTAGGCTACTCACGGACTCAATATGCGCTCTGCAATGATAACGTGATCGATGCCTGCAGTCCACGCTGATAGCTGTACCGTGGCAGATTTTTAGTTCTCATCTCCATAAACATAAGATGCCGGTGCATCTCTGATTTGTTGTTGGTCTACCATTATGCTCGTATTTCTTCTTCGCTGTGAATTACAATTTCCGTTCATCTGACCATCCGCAATCTGGGAAGCGCCACCACAAGAAGTCTGGAGGTACTGCCGCTTCAGTAAGCCAAAGTGGTAAACAGCCACAGTGTAGGTATGAATTTAGACCTTTTGTATGTTTAAAAAAGTATCGATACTTGGTGCCAGAGTATCGATTACATCTCGCGGCTGGAAATATCGCGATAAATCGGCACATCGATTTATTGTCCCACCCCTAATGCACATCCGATTTCTTTCTCAGCTATTTACATTTACTTAAGACATAACAAACTGTTTTCGAAGATTCTCACCAACGAGACGGTATTTTGACATACTTTTGTATGTATTTGTCCGTTCAAGCGCAAAGAGAAGCGGAAAGAAACTCAATTCAGTGCTCTCGCGCGTTGCCTGAGACATGGCTCTTTGTGCGCGCTGTGCACACAGAACACACTGAATGGAGCTTTACATTTTGTGTACATGTAGTTTAGTGTGCTGTTATATGATTTGTCAGTACAAAAAGCTCCCTTTAACACTGTACTTTCATTGCACGGTATGCTTTTTCTCTTTACCTTTCTTCCTCGTTCTGTTTGCTCACCCACTGCAGCATCTGCATACACTATCTGAGTGGATTGCTGCTCTCAGCAGGAGCGTGTAGACTGACCTTTCCTCAGTAACCTTTTTCAGCGTAACCTTTCCATCTGGATTCCAACTGCTTATACGCAATTTTCATATTCATCAACGGCCCGCTAATTGTAACTTTTAAAAGCATTTATTTAATCAAAAGAAGTTTTTCCTCTGTTCTTTGCCTCTAAACCCTGACTTTCAAATCCTAGTTTTTAAAGTAGCTAGTTTGCTAGTATTTATGAGTGCTTTTTTAACTGTCCATCCAGAAAAAAAATGTCCTGACCGTCTCCTAAAAAGCTTTTGACCTTTCGACCAGTCTCTGAGTAGGTAGATTTCTTCATCCTGGCTATTTGAAACTCTATTTCTGATCCGTATCTGCCAGTCGAATCCTTAAACCCGAAATAAAAGCCAAATCTTGGTAGCATAAACATTTTAACACCTAAAGCCTTTGCTTATGACTCTGTATCACAATATGATGAGGGAATAAAATCCCCTCAGAAGCTCTCCAGAAATAAACCGCTGGAAGACGGCAGTAACCAGCGGGTGTGTGTACTTTATGCAGATTTCATGAGGCTAATGTTGTGTGGAACTAAGACTCATTATCTGTTTGTGGGTTTTCTGGCTCCTCATTAAGCTGGAGAAGATGCCGTGGTGGTATCAGATGGTTGTGTGGAATCGGGCCTGTTGTCAGCAAGACTTTCCCCAGTGGCTGAAGTCACCCATGCGTTGTCTTTTTCCACCTTCAGCAATCACAGCCCACGCCATTATAACTAAACACTGATGATCCAACAATCTGAACAAATCATTAGTTCTGAGGTCTTTTTCATATTTTTTTTGCCAGTGTAGTCTATTATTTCAATGTTAAAAATGCAGAAATTGTATCTTATTGTATTTGTCTTGTTTTCTAATAGTACCTGTGAAGAACAATATCTTAATGGACAAACATATACATTTACATGAAAAGCCAGACTTAGAATAGTTCACCCAAAATAGACTTGTTTTAGAGAATGTTTTTATTCTTAATTTTATTTTATTTTATTAGAGCTATTTTCTAGAGATATTTTATTCATTATAGTGAAATCACTGCTTTTTAACATTTTGTTAGCATCGTCTTTTGTTAACACCATGTGAAAAAGTATAAATTTTTTACACCTGTAGAAACGGCATAATCTTCCTTCTTAAGAACAGAAAAAAGTGATGAAATCTTAAGCGTTGCCGGTTCTCTCCATGGGTTTAATTTAGAGGAGAAAACAAACTTCCCAAGCGCAACTGTTGGTGCTCGGTGCCTGGTCTCAGCAGGAAGCCTATCCTTCCCAGAAATGATTAATAATGTAATCAATAAAATAAAAAAAATGAGTGTGAAGAAGAAAATCAAGACAAACACAAATGGATGCCTGCCTTGCTCTGGCTGTGAGATTCGGGCTGAATTTGGAGTCTTTTTGAAGCTGGAGGAGCCGGTGTTCTAACAAATAATGCTACCTATCAGATTATGCTACCAACACTGTATTTATCTTACTGTAAGGGTAGGTTTAGGTTTGAGGGTAGATGTACACGTTAATAAAGCCTCACACCAGTGGCGTAGCGTCTGGGTATGCAGGTGCATGTGGGCCGGGGCAGTTTGGGGGCCCGCCGAGCTGGGGGGAACTTTTAAGTTAAATATGAGTTTAAGTTGGGGTCAACGAGGGAATGAATAGAGCCCTGCATGAGTCCGGCCCTTGTCCAACAGCTTATGAGAATTCTCGGCCCGAGTCCGACTGGATACCGTGTCTTTTTTTCTCTCTCACTTCCCCATTACACAGCTATTAAAATAGTTCAATTTTGCTTTTTAATGGCAAAGTGGTCATATTTCTTTTTGTTTCTTTATTAAGTTAATTTAGAAATATGTTTGGAACTTTCTATGTTTGTTAAATTCAAGTTTTTGTTTTTTTAAAGGAACGACCAAGCAGCAGCGGCAGCAGTGAGTTCTCAAACCAGCACGACTTGCCTAAAATAAACAGACATAAAACACTTCATGCATTTCACAGTATTAATTTAAACATTTAACCTAGATTAATGAGCGCTGTTAGGCGCATACCCAATCGTTTGTGCGGAGAGTGGAAGCTAAAGCGCGCTTTGCAGGACATGGAGGCGCCAGCGCGATCACTTGCATTTTTTTTTAATAACAGTGGAAACTTAAAAATACGCCATCATTTTTGCTAGGGTCTACTTGTATTTGTGTGCGCTCACAATATCAACAAAACGTCCAATGAGGAGATGGCGAGTCAGGTTCGTCAAATTCATTTTTGCAACATTGACTCAGAAAACATTAATTTATTAGCAAATAATTCAAATATCCCCTAACTATTTTTTTACTTTTTTTGTTTTTTATTTATTTGTTTGTTTTTTGGGCCGCTGTGCCAAAATTGTGTTTGCATTCAGTAGTCTATACGGCAGCATTTTTGTGCCACATTGAAAAATAACTAAATAAATAAGATTAACGTCATAATATTTTAAGAATAAAGTCAAAATTACGATAATAAAATCATGTTGCGTGAAGTTAATGTGAAAATTCCACCTATAGGCCTACTAAAAAAAAAGTCTGTGGCATCCGTCTTTCTTTTTTTTTAAACTGATTGATCGATTCATGAGACATTCGTTTGTATTAAATTGTTCAGATTTTTTTCAACATGCATTCAAATATTCATGTATATTTCGTGCTGCAAATATTAAAGAGGAAAATATCATTGATTCATATGCAGCTTGAACTGAGGCGAATTATCTCACTACAAATTAAAGAGAGTAAAAAGACGTTTATTGTTTGTATTTTATCATAAAATTGACAGAAGGCAGAGACTTTGTAGTAATAAAGCACAAAGCTGCGATTATTGAGTGGCTTGCAAAACTTGAAAACTTTAAACATAATTTCTAAGCATTAGCCTATACCGTAAATAAAACAGCTTGTGGATAGTCACGATTCACGTAACGTTATTTACTTCAGAAAAATCAACAATAGGGCCTAAGTTAAGTTAACCGAGTTGGAGCCCATAACGTTTGGGGGGGCCTGTACCAATCTTTTGCCTGGGACTGACTCGCTACGCCACTGCCTCACTGCCCACTTGCCGCAAGCAAAATCTGATAGGTAGCATTTTTCGCTGTCGAATTATGTTACCATCTGTTTTAATGGGAGGTAGCAAAATCTGACAGGGTAGCACAAATCGTCAGAACACCGGCAGTTGTAGTGAATATGTGAGAAGATCTGAAAATGGGCCAAGGAGGCCTACTGGGAGAGATAGTCCCATAGATGATCATCAACAGACCCAAACCACAACGAACGCCTGGTAGCGCTTCTGTAATACTCTGTGTTTGATTTCCATCTGGCAATAAATCTAGTAACTATTACGTTTAGTAACCCCAAAATTACATCACTTTCTATATAGAGCCTATATGCTAGCTTTGTTTATGCAGCACTTATGTGAGAAGTGTGAAACAGCCCTTATTTTGAGTATTTGCTGTCTTCTGTCCTCAGAGAGCTGCCACACTCGCCTCGAAACCTACAGGCCAGCCTGAACGTCAACGACAGCCGCAGCGTGGATCTGTCCTGGATGAGACCCTTCGATGGAAACAGCCCCCTACTGCATTATGTGGTGGAGCTTTCAGAGAACAGTAAGATAAACCAAGGGTTATTTATTGTAAAGGAATATATGAAAACATTTCACAAAAGTTTTACATTTTTGAACACATTCTGGTTGTCAAACAGTGGTTAAGGTGATGATCTACACTTTGCTAGGACACCTGTGTGAATTTGTGAGTAACTTAGGTTGACCTGGGAACAGAACCCTAGTGCCCACCCATTTTTTCAGCAGCCTTGGTTCCAGAGGTATTTTTTTCCAGTAAGTTTTCCAATAGGAATTTAGGGAAAAAAATCTAAAAATTAAAGAGTTATAAGCCATGAATCAAACCAACCAGCTGTGATGTGAATCATATACAAACATTGGGCCAAAATACAAAGATACAACACTATCTATCTATCTATCTATCTATATATATATATCTATATGTATATGTATATGTATATCTATTTATATATATATATAAATATATATATATATATATATGAATACAAGTGTCAATTTGTACCCATTTACCGCAAAATCTGCATATATTACACACAAATATTTCAGTTTTTTGCGAGCATAGGGAGACTAGCTCGAGTCATTCGCAGCGCTTCATGAAAGTGGGTGGACGCTAAAGAGTTCTTTTGGCATGATTTGCTTCTCTCGATTCTCTGTTTGGTGGCAATTTCTCTGCAAAATCATAGGTAATGTAGTTTTTCCACCAGAAATTCTGTTGTTAAACACTATTGTTTAAAAAATAAAAAAAAGCATTTACCATCGATTAACAACCTCATTGCCCGCAGTAGGTCTGTCTTTAGAGGTTTATTTTAAGGTGTTGTTAAAAATAAGCTCTCCTTTGGAGAATATGAATGGGATTTTTGTTTCCGGAGCCCCACTGATGCACTCTTAAGTGGCAGAAATAGTATGAGTAGTATGCAAATGTGGTATTCTGAATTCAGCTCCTTTCATCCAATAAAAATCACCTTGACACCACTTGATTAAAAGACATTTGTGTCAAAAGTGGCTCAGAAAAGTGATAGCTCTGAAATCAAATAATTTTAAGGGTGAATAAGATGTCCAAATACTTCTTGGGATCACTGTATTTGCTCAGTGGCACAATTTTTAAGGGAATCCCACTCCGAACCGGCAGTGCTAAAGAATCTACTGATCTCAGTGCCTCATTCACATCTACCCGTGATGCATCTGAATCAGGCAGTCCAGAGCAAGCGCGCAGCTGCTCTCTGTATCTACAGTGCATGCTACATATGAGAGTTGATCTCAGCTAGTGCCGCCCAGTGGTGTAAAAGCCTGTGGTATTACAGAACCAAGAAAAAAACCCACCCAAGTAGATTGATCTTGCAGGACTGGAAGAGGACAGTGAGAAATGTGTTGGAGTGTAGGTGAAGATTACTGGTGCAGGGTGTAATATGGCCGGGAAGTCCCATTAGAAACACCTTTCAGATAAATTGAGAAAAACCTGCTCTCTCTCTGACTAAAAATGTTTTGCCCTCAAAAACACTGATTTCAGGTGCAATCTATAATTTTCTTCCTCATTAAGAAGATCTGACACATAAAGCAATGAGTAGTACTTACAGTATGCTTTGAATCAGGAGATGTTTATTCATGAAAGGATCGTTTTAATTTCTTTTGATCTAAACTTCATCTCATTGCAAATGTTGTTTGGAGTCTGTTGTATAATTTCTGAAGCTACATGGGCTAGTCATTAAGTGCCATTAAGTAATAATGGCCAGCCTGAATGCTGTGAGGAGTCCAGACTCAAGCATGTTATGTAATTATGAGTAGATGAATAATTTGTGTAAAAAATATCTTGACAAGTATCATGTGATTATGCAAATTGTGTAATTTTATATGCCACCATGTGTCTTTAGAAGACAGAATACAAGGTTTGATAACACTGTATAATTACTTTTATTAATAACATTTCCAGAAATGATTACATTTAACAGATCTTTAGTTAAAGGGACCTTTATCATGGAAAAGGCCTACTTTTTGTAAGAGTGATTCATTTCACATGCAGACTGATTAGTCTATCACATAAAACTCATTTACATATAGTCTTTGGTTCAATAGCAGTAAAGGCCTGTTTAATTCTAAGGGTCAGTGAAGGGACTGTTTTTTGGGGGTTTATAAATATTGACTAATTATTATAGGTGAGAAGAAATGAAACATAATATCTAATAAATACATGAGCAATATCACACAAGTAGCCATGTGATATGGCTGTATATCGGCATAACTGTGATTCGACCGTAGGCACAAGGCCACAGGCCTCAATTAAGGAACATTGAGTTGCTACATTGAAATCTTATTGTATTACTGTATTAAAAGCTCACTGTATTATGAGAGAGAGAGATGGCCTGAGTGAGTGTGATTACCTGCATCTGATACAACATTCATTCTTAAGATCAAATAGACGTTATCTTTATTATCTTTATAAACAAACCACATATTTGAAGTCTAAACAAGTACATTCTCACCTAAAAAAAACTCTTAAAACTACATTCTATGACACAAAAAACAGTATAAATTATAAAATTATAGTGTATTTGGGCGTCCGCCATGACACTTGCTATAAGAAATGCTGCAAGCGGAGTGATACTCTGTTATCACTTGAATATCACACTCCTCTCAGCCAATCAGATTCGAGAACTAGAAAGAACTTTTGTATTAATAAAAATATGTAATATGAGATACATTACCACTCATAATCGGGGTCAGTAAAAAAAATTTTTAAGAAATTAATTTTATTCAGCAAGGATACATTAAACTGATGAAAAGTTATCATAAAGACTAGGGGTGGAACTGTTCTTGGTAAACCTATAGCAGACATAGCCGGCTGAACATACGGTATCGGTGCACTGGATCAGTGCATTCTCTTAAAGTGACAGCACATTTTTTTATATTAATCATACAGCAACAACAAGGAAATCACTCACCGTACCAAAACCGTGACTCTAAAACCGTGATACAAACCGAACCGTGAGTAAGTTGATCATGTGACACTGAAGACCGGAGTAATGATGCTGAAAATTCAGCTTTGCCATCACAGGAACACATTACATTTTAAAATACATTCAAAAAATATTTATTTTAAATTTTAATAATATTTTACAATATTGTTTGTACTGTATTTTTGATCAAATAAATGCAGCTTTGTTCAGCATAAGTGACTTCAGAAACATTTCAGAAAATCCTACCGAACCCAAACATTTGAACAGTAGTGTATATTAATATAATGACATTATAATAGATACATAAATAAATTATGTCCCCTGTATTTTTTAAATAGTTAGAAATGTTCTGCTTCTCTTTGTATACCAGATTCTCCCTGGAGAGTGTATTTGCCTGATGTGGACCCCACCGTGACTGGAGCCATGGTGAAGGGCCTGACTCCGGCCCGCTCGTACCAGTTCAGAGTTTGCGCGGTCAATCAGGTGGGCAAGGGACAGTACAGCACCGAAACCAACAGGTAGGAGGCCATGGTTGTCAACGGCTGCTTATTCTCATGTTGTCCGCCCATCATCACAAGATTCCGTTTTTTACACTCAAGCTTGGTCAGCAACAGGCTTATTATGTCCCATCACGCTATGGTCTGCTGCCGCCCATCATTGTTTAAGTGTGTGTTGTGTCACTGATCCTCCACCCACAGTTCTCAGTATGTCCTGCTGCGGCTGAAATCACAACACTGTAGGTTTTCTTTCTCAGATCGAGAATGGCAGGCTTCTGCTTTCACCTCTCGCTCTAATCAGACCCCCCTAGCAGCTCGCTTTCGCAGGCTTGCAGCTGTGGGCGTCAGACGCCTCTTTCCCAGCAGCTCCTCAGAGTTTTATCTGCTCCTGACGTGGCAAAACATGCCATTTCTGTTCCAGGTGAAAAGGTGGTGTCTCTCACCCGCAACAGCAATGTCTCACTTTAAAATTAAATCGCTTTTATTTAGCTGAGTGTTGAGGATGGTTTTTCAGAGATATAGAGCTGCTTAAACCTTTTCCTCAATGCTGAATTAGCTGAAAGCTACAGTAAACAGGTGGGTGAGAGCAACAAAAAGTTGAAAAGACTTTTCAGTTTCAATGGAACGATCAAGGTAACTATGCATCTGGCTTTGCAGCGGAAAAAGATGTTTCTTTTCCGCTTGTGTGAATAATGAAAGCGTTCTAGTAAATGCAAAGAGCTGTTAATGAGCAACCGATTTAAAGGAAATCAGCGTGAGTCAGTCGGGTACGTAGAGCGGTAATATCATCTCTCTTCAGACTTCACATCTATTCTCTCCCACCGCTGATATCTGGCTTTTCTCAGCACCTGCTCTTCCAAAATAGTGCTATCGTGTTGTATGCCTTTCCAGGCAAAGTGAATATTGAAATTGAACTTTTTGACTTTTGAGCCCACTCTATAAATGTAATATTTGTTAGTTTATCTTTGAAAAATATTCATGTCATCTAGGTTAATGTGGAGCACAATCTGATGAGAGAACACATTAAACTTTAAAGACCTGCTGTAGGTTCTTAACCCTTGTTTAACCTCAGTTAATGCTTAACTGTTTCAGACGTGCTCACATTACACATTTAAGGGCTTTATTTGGTAAATTATATTCAAGTGCAGGAAGCTAAAAGCAATTCATAACCTGCCATTTTGTTATCATATCATCATGAGTAGTTTGATCACGACTGCTCATTGTTGTTGCTGCTTTTTTTTTTTTTTTTTAGATTTTACATCAATGCCTGGTTAATTTAAAAAAAAAAAAGTCTGGTTTAATTTACAAGAAAAAAATGTAACAGCCAGTACAGTGAGATGTAAAAAATTCCACTTTCAATTACAAAAAAAATATTTTAATCACATTTAACTTGTTTAAATTGGTGAAAATTACACATACTGTGTTTATATATATTATATAGTTGTTATTTCTAAATGTTTAGTTAGACATATTTTTGCATGTTTATTATTACAGAAAATTACTTTTTAATCTATATTTTCACTGTATATAGGAAGTTAATTTGGCAGTTTTACAATCTTTATCGTTTTATTTTAAACATTTTAGAATTTATTTTCAAAGGAGAGAAGGTGATTTCATGACTGCATACATTACTCACTATGTAAAAACAAAACAAAGAAGTCTGCATACTGTTGCTTCCAATTATACTTTCAAATTTAAATTCACTGCAAACGTGATGTTTCGAAGGGAATGCTCATTGCTCGCAGATGTTTCAGTTAAGTACCTGTATTAACTGAGCTTTGGTTGTTTGTGCTTTACAATCCTAGTCATTTGCATGTTGATGTCAGGCAGACCGGAGAAGTTCCATGAAGTCTCTTGCTGATTAACTCAAAAAACAAAAAAACAATTTCAGAAACAGTATGCGTTAAGATAACAGAAAGCAAAATCACTAAATCATGAGCCTTATATGGAGGGCTATTGACTCAGACCGTTCAAAGATGCACTCTTTTAGAGCAAAGCTGCTTCCTGAGGGACAGAGTTAAAACAGAAAGTGGTGCTTGAAGGGCCCCATCAATCTTCTCTAGCATGCATGTCTCCTCGCTGTGACAAGACATCTGTCCATTTTGGGCTTATTAAGCAGAAGGACTAGAGCTGACAAGCCCATAGAAACAGAGAAGTGCAGCTCTCTCATAATGAGCTATCACCTTCCCACACCAAGTCCTATTTATCTGCCTTTTTTGGGGCAGAGCTTGGCAAAATGCAGTGCATTTAATAATCTAAAGAAGCTTTTTCCAGTATAAAGAACCTTTTGTGCAATGAAAAGTTTCCATGCATGTTAAATTTTCTTCATGGAACCATTAATGCCAATGAAGAATTCTTATTTTTAGGAGTAATAGCCTAAATTAAAAGATTTAATAGGGTATAGTAAGCTTGGGACCAAATGTTGCTTTGTGGTTATTGAAAAAAAAACTATATTTTTCCCAGAAATTGAATTATGACATTGTTGTCCAATTGTAAGATATAGTCAAGGAAGGGTGAGACCTCTTAAGTAGTGTAGGCCAAAATTACCCTTTTAAAAGGTGTGGTGTGAGGCACAGACAATTGATTGGTTTTAAAATTAGCAACATTTCATGCTGGGTTAATTTTATGTTAGAAAATGGTTTCTCTAATAGTTCTCAGAAAAACAAAATAATGCCTCTAATGCTTAAAAAATAAAGGTCATAGGACACCAAAGTGTACTGCATTCGTGAAACGCATTAGGCACTTTCCTTGTGTTGTTTATGTTCAGAAGCAGATGTTTAATAGCTGGTGGCACAGTGCAAGTGTGTAAAACAAATGTGTAAATACCGCATGGCTATGGCAAAAAAAAGCTCAGTTTCAGCAAGGAGCGAGCAGTCTTTCCTTACGGCCATCATTAGGCAGATTTACAGAGCACTGTCTGAAAAAAGCTCCATGATATTGGTTATGGAGGGCATTAATTATGAAACAGACTTCTGGGAAGAAATAACAAAGTGTGGTCAGAGGTTTAAGAAGACTCTGACAATAAATCTGAAAAGACCCAATGATCCTATTAAACTTTAATGCAGATTTAACTGTCCATTAGCATGAAACGCATAGGGCAGGATGAATCTATGGGCATTACTAAGCATTCAACACTGATTCATTTTAACTTTGTTAATTAAGAAACTGCGCTTTCTGTAGGTGGAATGAACTGAGCATTGCTCACAGATTATCATTTATATATGCTAGCAAACTAGCCTTTAGAGACTGGTCATTATGACATATTGGACATTACCAATGAGAGCCCACAAAATCATTAGCATTTCCCTCAAAAAGTGTTTACTATTTCATTACGAATCTGTTGTAAGATCAAGTAAGGAGGGACCAACAGGGTCTTTTGTAAACAAGTGTTGTAAAAACATTTCCCCATTTTGCAAATGGCAGCCCCAGCCTAAATAAAGGACTCTGAATAAAGTAATGCATAGTGTCAATATGAATGCATGTGTTTGATGATCGACATCAACAAGATTTTCAATGTCTTTCTTCCTGTCTCAAAGTTTTTCGGAGAGAAATGTGTTGAGGTCCGTTTGCACTTTGATGTGTGCCCAGAGCCTCTGCATTTTTTAAATCTCACAAAGTCTCAGTCAACAAATGAGAATTGAGACCCTTTAATAAACTAAAATATAAGCTCCAAAAAATGGGAAAAATGTTCTCTCCTCTTAGGATTGAACAGAAATAGTGCCGTTTAGTGTGTTCCTTTTTTTGAAAAGGGTACAGGTATTTACCACTGAGTTAAAAAGCACTGCCATTGAGGACAAATCCTTCAGCAGACATGCACAGCACTACTGTGGCCTACTGTACAACAAAACCATGAGATGCTCTTATCTTTAAAAATGTGTGGTCTATTTGTAATTCGAAAGCTTGAAATTTCAATGAAGCGCTTAGCTTGAAAGTGCTGAGCCAACGAACGCAATCTTGTAAGGCTGTGAATGCACCCAAGCCAGTTGCCACGTAAGCAGCGACCTCCAAAATCAAAGCATCGCGGTGCTTAAAGCACTTTTCCAAGAAAGCGCATGAGAGCTTTTGATGGAGTAATGTGACACAGTGCATCAGGTTGGGAAATGGACTTGTGACCAGAGGGTTACACTTACGCGGCTCACACTGTTGCGCCCCAGAGCGAGACCACTAACCTGATTCGCACGAGAGAAAATGGAGCAATGAATCAGTTATGTAAGAACACTTTGATGCTCCGTTGAGTGTGTACCTGTGCTAGTAATGCTCTTACGCTTTCTCCTCAGATTGACGCTGCGAGAGGAACCGCCCAGTGCTCCGCCCAAGAACATCGTAGCCAGCGGCAGAACCAACCAGTCCATTATGGTGCAGTGGCAGCCGCCTCCGGAGCCTCAGCTCAATGGAGTCTTGAGAGGCTACATCCTCAGGTGAGACATGCACAAATCATTTCACAGACAGAACTTGACTGATGAAATGTGCCGAAATATGACTCCTGGTACTTCCACAATACTGTGGACTCAGTCCAAGATACTCTATTGAGTCATTTTTTCCACTGAATGGTCATTTTAGACTGTTTTTCTGCTATTTTTATAGGTAGCATGTTTATTTCCCTGAAAAATGTAAATTGTTTGAGCTATCCAATAAAGCAGCACTGGCTCAACCAATTGCATTGGTTTGGGGTGGGACCATCTGTTTCTGTGACCAATGAAAGTATTTGGGAATTGGATTTGAAAACATTATTTGGAAACACTTTACAGTAAGGTTGCTTAAAGTTAGTTAAAGGAACAGTTCACCCAAAAATGGAAATTGTGGCATTTACTCACCCTCATGTTGTTCCAAACCTTTATAAGTTTCTTCCTTATGTTGAACACAAAAGAAGATATTTTGAAGAACCAAACAGTTGTTGGTCCCCATTGACTTCCATAGCAGCAAAAGGAATACTATGGAATTCAATGGGGACCATCAACTGTTTGATTACCAGCATTCTTCAAAATATCTTCTTGTATGTTCAACGTAAGAAAGAAACTCATACAGGTTTGTACCGACGCGAGGGTGAGTAAATGATGACAACATTTTAATTTGTGGGTGAACTATAACTGCTATAACTTTAATACATTAACTATCAATGAGCAATACATTATTTATTAATCTTCGTTAATGTTAGTTAATAAAAAATACAAATGTTCGCTGTTGGTTCTTGTTAGCTCAGGTGCATTAAATTATATTTACAGATAAAACTTTTTATTTTAATAATGTATTAGTGTTGCGATGAACATTAACCAAGATTAATAAATAATATATATAAATAAAATAATTAATATAAAATAATTAAATAATTTTGAATTGTTAGTTCATGTTAATTAATGTAGGTAACAAATGGAACCTTATTGTAAAGTGTTACCATAATTTCTAAATTCCATTTTGTACCACTAATGGCACAAAAATCTGCATTTTAAATACATGTTTATTCATTTGGCAGTCACTTTTGATTCAAAAGTGAAGCTTAGTTTGGGGCCAGCAATGCCAGTTTTGATTGCATTTGTCATCTAGATAATGGAGTTGACCTTAGTGCTGTCACTTTCACTGCTGTTTTAGTACAGTTGTAGCCAAGCATATTTGTAAACAAACTGATTTAAAATGAGTGTTTGACATGTCTATGTGATAGTGAATCTAGTCAGGCTGTATTAAAGATTTTGGCAAACATGACGCTCCACACTAGTGGTCAGAACAATGCTGTTTTGGTCAAATTAAAAAAAATCGTACATTAAATAAAAATTATTCAAATATAATTTACTTTAAAAAAGCAATTCTGTTGTGTCTTTAACTATGCATTGTTAAGGCCATGACACATCAAGCTGACCACTGCTTAATATTGGCCTAGTTTTTGCAGTTTATTCCACACAGCTTTTTTGTCTGATTGAGCAAAAAATCTGGTCTGATTTGTTTTGGTCTGATTGATCGTCGGAGCCCATCAGCAAGCAAATGACGAGGCTTAAGAGGCTGTTAACAGTATATCTGCAGTCCTAACTCTTCCAGTTTGCCTTTTTGAATGACGAATATAGATTACCGTTACCTGCTGGTTGTTGCTGCTAGTTATTTCCTCTCACACAGGTGCGGAATGTACGTGCAAGTTAGCATTGACTGTAGTCATTGAGCTGTGCTCAAGCACAACTCTTTGGCCCAGACAAAGGCAACGTGAGGTGACACCACATTCTTGCTAGTTATTTATGTCGATTCTGTTTGTCTGGGCCTTTATATGAACAACCTATCAAAAGTAGTTTCAAAAGATACTGTCTTCAGTGTCACATGATCCTTCAGAAATCATTCTAATATGCTGATTTGCTGGTCTTAGCCTATTATTATCAATGTTGAAATAAGTTTAATATTTTTAATATTCTTTGATGAATAGAAAGTCCAAAAGAACAGCAGTTGTATTTGAAATATAAATATTTTGTAACATTTTACAACTTGTGTGTCCTTGCTGAATAAAAGTATCAGCTTTCAGATGATGTATACATCTCAATTTCAAAAAATTTACCCTTATGACTAGTTTTGTGGTCCAGGGTCACATATTAGAATGATTTCTGAAGAATCGTTCAGGGTATCCAGTCAAGATCTTATTTTGATTTATTATAGTTACTTTACACCCAACAGAGAAGATCAACCAATTAAATGACACCCATTTCTCTTACGCAGCAAGAGCTTGGATGCATTTCATTAGCAGTGTTTGACCACTCTTATCCTCCTCAGTGGATGTGTTGTGAATATTTATGCTGTTTTTAATAGCATTCCCCCATCAGTGGTGTATTTAACACCATTCCTTCTCTGGAAGAGAGCTAGTGTGTGCCTAATAATTATACAGCCTGTGGGATGACTTCTAACGGCACAGTGACCTGGAAGAAAATCGTTGTCGCTCACTGTTTGGCCATCGATTGCCCTGATGCAGGTACCGGCTCGCGGGGCTCCCTGGAGAGTACCAGCAGAAGAACATCACCAGTCCTGAGATCAACTACTGCCTGATCACAGAGCTCATCATCTGGACCCAGTATGAGATTCAGGTGGCCGCGTACACCGGGGCAGGCCTGGGCGTCTTCAGTCAGCCTGTCACTGAGTACACGCTGCAGGGAGGTGAGACCTTGTTTCTCTGTCACACTCTCAGGGGTTTTTTTTCGTTCGCTTCTATCGGCCTCTGTGTTTTCATCTATTCCTTTTCATCAGCGGAGGCAGGAAGCGTGCTGGTTTGAACCGGTTGATGCAGTACTTGTTTACATGCGATGCTGAGGTCAACACTGAGCCTCCACGTAGACGCCACATTTATTTTAGAGCCCTCTTCTCAGACAGCTAACTTCCATGCTAATCCTCTTCAAAACAATTATGTCAATTATGTACGAGCCACTTTTCTCTTCAGATGAGAAGAATCCATCTCGGGAAATTCAGAGTCTTCTCATTTGGACATTTTGGATGATTATCTGGGGAGCGGCAAACAAATCGACTCTGTTTTGAGAGGCTTCGTCTGTCTAATTATTTTAAATAGACATACTATAAACAGAGTCTGTCAAGCAGTTGAATGGTATTGATGCAGCTCCGCTAACCACACTCACAATTAGCAACCTTGACGACATCACAGATCCTAAGAGAGAGAGACAATGTTATATGAATGCAAATTAGGGCTGTCAGTTTGAACATAGTAATTTTGAACAATTAATTATTAGCATAAAACATTTATAAATGTATCATATTTAGTCATGTCTCCTAACCCTATGCTACCACACCATTTAAAGTTTGTGGTCGGTAAGATTTTATTTTTATTTTTATTTATGTATTTTTTTTTTTTAAGAAATTAATACTTTTATTCAGCAAGGACACATTAAATTGATCAAAAGTGGTTCTTTGTGCTGTTCTTTTGGACTTTCTATTCATCAAAAAAACTTAATTCAACATTGATTGTAATAAGAAATCTTTCTTAAGCAGCAAATCAGAATGATTTCTGAAGGATCACGTGACACTGAAGACTGGAGTAATGATGCTGAAAATTCAGATTTTCCATCACAGGAATAAATTACATTTTAAAATATATTCTAATTAAAAACAGTTATTTTAAATTGTAATAATTCAAAATATTGCTGTATTTTTTTTTATCAATTAAATCAGCTATGGTAAGCATAAAGACTTCTTTCAAAAACATTAAAATAGTTTACCGACACTAAAAGTTTGAATGGTCGTGTATAATAAATTATGTCTGCAACAATAATGTTATTTACTACTAAATTACCTTCATTTGATTAAAAAACGTAATAAATTACTAGAATTGATTGACAGCTTTATAAACAACACCAGGGCTACATATGTTTTATCCAGTGAGGAACTTGAGGTAGGGAATAGTGCCTCTGAAGAGCAGAGATGCCACTGCATAATGAATGTGTTTACACCGCTTTAAGAGAGGGCTATAATTGGCAGACTTTTGAAAGATAGTCTTTTGATTCAAAATAAGTCAAAGCTTGACAGGCAACCTGAAAAGATCAGCCACAGAAGAAAGAAAAAAAACTCTCTCACCATGCTTTTATGAATATGCTTTTTGTATGAATTTTTTTACCAGGGGTTTCATGAATGTACACAACCAATTCCACAGAAAATCTTTGAAAGTCTGAAATTCAGTTTTGTGTTGGTCATACAAATATGTGCTTTTCAATTGTGTTATACATCAACAAAGATGTCCATACAGCAAAAAAAAAAAAAAAAAAAAAGTATGATAAAAATTGTCTTTATGATTCAAAATGTTTTA